TGTAACTAATACTGTCAACAGTTGACAATCGTCATTAGGAATTTATTATTATTATCATTATTTTTAAGTGACAAATGCATCTCTGTTTGCTAATATGTGGCATAAATGCAGAGTCTTCTGACTACCCTAAGCAACAATGCAAGCATGTTCGGGATGCGGTTCTCCCCCTTGAAATGCCAAATTGTTGCTTCAAGATTGGGTTGCATCGGCACCTGAACTAGTGATAGAGAGTGAAGTAGTCGAACGTGTAGACCGCTTCACTTATCTTGCGAGTCTCATCAGTGCCGATGACCTGGTGACTGACGAAATCTCAGCTCGGATACAGAAGGCTCGATTGGCTTTTGCCAACCTGCGTCACTTGTGGCGTAGGCGTGATATCCGTTCGCTAGCCAAAGGCCGTTCTCTTATATGGCTGTGAAACATGGCCGTTAAGAGTAGAAGATGTTCGTAGGTTACTAGTATTCAATCATAGATGTTTAAGAAGCATTGCTCGTATATCGTGGGACAGCCGAGTAAGCAATTCTGTCGTTAGGAAACGAGTACTAGGTAAGGATGGCAAATCAATAGATGAAGTAGTGAAACTTCATCAGTTGAGGTGGTTGGGACATGTGTTACGTATGCCTAACCACCGACTGCCTCGTCGAGCTTTGTTTTGTAGTGTAGGAGTAGGTTGGAAGAAAGTTAGGGGCGGCCAAACCAAAACATGGCAGAAATCTATGAAGTCACTGACAAGTGGACTGAGCCATGTTTGTAGATGTAGACTACCTGGTTGGGGTCCGCGAGATGATAATAATCGATGGTTAGAGACCTTGAATGACATGGCTCAAAATCGTTCACAATGGCGCCGTTGCATTTATTCTCTGTGTTTTCTCAAATCCTAATCTTCTGGGTTCTTCAACTCCTCTAGTTTTGACTTTCTAAAGTTTTCTCACTGAATCATACTTCTTGAATAATATCTTCTCATCCTAACCTCTCCGATTACTTCTAATACCTTTTGCTACCTCTTCTACTATTGGATTTGAACTGACAATTATATCTCTGTGCTGATATGGTATGGCAACATGAACTGATGTACTTACGTACGAAGTTCTATGTTGTTGTTGTTGTTGACTGACTTTAAACACGTCAATATTTAATATAGAAAATAAAATCACAAAATATTTAATTGATAGATAGATAGAGAGTTCCAATTAATTATGAATTATTGTCATTATATACAATGCATTCGAATCACATCAACACAACGATAATAATTCACTGGTCATAATGTATATATATACATTGATTATACAGACTCAGGCATCAGATGATTTTATTTAAAATGCATTTTAATAATTTTGTATTTTATCAAGTATGAAATCAAAAAAAATTTTTTTTTCTTATTTGATAAATTTTGCAATATTCCTGATAAAAAAATTTTTTTTCACTCATCATCATCGTGACTACTTAAATACCATTCTGATATATATATATATATATATATATATATATATATATATATCAGTAATGATAAACATTCTTAGGAAGTCTCATCTGATAATTTTGCGAAAATTTTTGCGAAAAACAAATTTTAACGTAAACATTAAAAAATTTTGCGTAGCGTGAAAAAAACCATATGCATTATAAGATTATAGATTACGAGGTTGTGAAGTGACATATTTGAAATCATAAAAATCGATCAATGTTAGACCACACCATTAGAACACAAACCTGAAAGCACTGAAAGATAGCTAGCTGTTTCTTGCTGTTATGGGACTACTGACTCATCAGTGACAATGCGTATCCACGACTTGTGCATCTCGCAGGATTCGAACCCTTCGGTCTTGCGCGTCAATCAATGCCTAACCTCTGGACCACTGACCCCCGGTATCTAATATATATTCACAAATTATTATCAGTAAAAATAAAATTCAAAATTCCTGGTTTTAATAATTTGGTTTAGATTAATAATAATAAATAAATAAGTACAAGACACTATTTTTATTTTTAAAAAATTTGGCATAACATGATAGTGATTTAATTTTTCTTACGAAAATTAACAGCTAAATAAAGGAGAGAGAGAGAGAGAGAGAAAAATATATCAATGAAATTACGTTTGTGTTGTGTGTGCTGTGCTTCATGTCTATTAATGTCTAGTTTGAAAAATTGTTTGTTTATATGAATGGCGTACAAGCTACTTTTTTGGCATTAATATGAAAAGTAATAACTTTAGGTTTTGTTAGATTATCAATAGCATTTTTTATGTCAGTAATTTATCTGTTACAACTTTGATAGAAGAACGCCAGGAGCGGTTAAAACGAAACATGGCACAAATTCATGCAGACACTGACTATTTGGACTGAGAGTAAGTGTAGATCAATAGGTTGTGGAGTCCTGGAGACAATAGTAAACGATGGTTGGAGACTTTGAACGAGGTGGCTGAACATTGTTTGTGATGGCGCAGATGCATGCATTGTTTGTCTTCTCTCAACTATTAATCTTGTGAATTCCTCATGACCGTTTTTTTTCTGCGTTTTTAAAAAAATTGATTCCATTGGGATATACTTCTTGAATGATATTTTCTCGATCTCTAATCTTTTCCATCACTGCTAATACTTCTACTACATTTACCATTCTGGGATTTGAATTAACAGTTAGATCTTTTGTGCTTATGTAGGTAGTATGGTGACTACGCAGTTTTATTGTAACTGACTGACTGACTGACTGACTGGTACAGCGTTGAAATACCTTTTCCAACAATAAATACAATTTATTTTAAATATTTACCAAATAAATTAACTCAAATATTCATTGGTGAACTGTAGTCAGATAACCAAATACTCAAAAAAAAATCAATATTCTCATACTTTTTCCCCATCTAATCATGAGTAATTATAAAAGTGCTTACAAGGAGCATTAAAAATTAATCATGACTGATATTTGAACGATGTTCATTGTCTCACTAAAATCGATGTATTTCAACGAGCATATAGAATAAGAAAATATTTCAGATATTACTGAAAATGTAATATGAATTTTTTTTAATGCAAAATCTGCTTAATTTCACTGAGATCCCATTTGAACTATGCAGTAAGTAGTAGTTGTGGTGGTGTTTTGTTCTCTGAGCTTGTTGTTTTGGTTGTGGAGCTTTCATTGCTGTTCTTCTACTGAACAACATCATCAGCGCAAACATCAGATAGAAGAAGAAGTGAAGCATTCGAATTTCTCCACGTTTGACCTGTAGCTTGTTCTGCTAACGTGGAGAAATTCGAATGCTTCACTTCTATCTGAAGTTTGTGCTGATGATGTTGTTCAGTAGAAGAACAATGAAAGCTCCACAACCAAAACAACCAGCTCAGAGAACAAAACACCACCACAATCATCCACCTGAGCTACAAGTTTTCTCCACCATATCTCAAAGTAAGTAGTAGTGTCATACTATTTCAGGTAAGTAGATAATAAAAAGTTGGAAAACAAATTTTTTAACATGAATAAATTCATTCTCGAGTTACGCAGCATATGATGCGACCGAAAATTTCTACAATTTTTAAAATAAATTTGGAAAACTGTTATTCATATAAACGTTAGAAAAGAAAAATAGTAGTAGTAAACTGCTTGTTATAATTAAAATGTAATTTTTAAATATTTGCAGTCATTTTTGAAAATCAATTAAGCTTGTCTGTATATATATAATATTGTGGAATGTATTATATTATTGCAACCTGTTTCAACTAAAAGTTTTTTTAACCATTGAACTTTGAATTACTTCAATTATGCGCCTACTGTCCTATCAGGAGACATACAAATAAACCAGCAATCTGATTGGATGATGCTCAAGGTCATTTGAAAAAGATTTTACGTCGCGCCTACTCTTATAATTTTTTTCTCTACTGTTGTGCCATTTTTAATTGTGCATCTTCATCACCAGATAGATAGCCGATCATCACGAATATTAGTGTTATTCATGCATTTATTGATCAGCTGATAGTATAACGTTATTCTCTCTGTGTCTGTGTGTGTTTCTGTATTTTTCCCATTGATTAACATTCTATTTTGTATGACATGGTATGCATTTTTTTGTCTGGAATCCTATAATACTAATATATATATTTTTTGAAACCATGAATCGATCAGTGTTAGACCACCATTAGAAACCTGAAAGCACTGGACGGTCGTTTCGTGGTCCTGGTATGGGACACCGTTAGATACCGGCTCAGTGGTCCGTTGGTTAGGCGTTCGCCTACAATACCGAAGGTCCTGGGTTCGAATCATGCGGGGTGCAGGAGTCGTGGATGCGCACTGCTGATGAGGAGTCCCATACACCAGGATG